GTGGTGGTGTAAAGAGCCAAAAATTTTAGAATTGTGTCCATGTCCCAATATTTATGGACCTGACTGTATATATGTTTTAAAACCCAATAAAAAACAAGCTATAATTAAAAAAAATATTATATATATATATATATATATCTATAATATTTTTTTAAATTGTAGCTGTTTTTTTATTGAGTTTTAAAACATATATATATATATATGTGTGTGTGTGTGTGTGTATGTATGTATGTATGTGTATATATATATATATACAGTATATTTATGTTTCTATGATGTATATGAAGCCAGCAACCCCGAAAAGGACCCTGAAACCCCAGTTCTGGGTGGAATTAGCCGTGTTTGATTTGTGAGCCGACCATATAATGAATATTCTCAGACTGTTAGAATTCACAGAAAACGGTCAAAAGATGGATGCTGGGTTATGACGGCAGAATCCAATGTTTCAATCTGAATAATCAATACATTTGTCCCTTAAGCGGTCAACTCACAAATGGTTGCTAGGCAACTGCAGTGGCCAAGATGGCGTCCGCACTGCCAAATGGTCTTCAGTTTCTATCTTCTCGGGACAAGGTCGGGGGATAACTGAAGGACACTAGGAATGCAGATTTGTGAAGGTCATCCCATGAAGGCGTTTTTTGCTGCGATTTTATTGACGGGTTTTGCAGCTGCAGGGAATCACAAGGGTTAAAATTAATTTTTTCCTCCGTCACAAAATACATAAGCGTTATTATACAGAGTCCAAGTCACAGTCCATTTGTGAAGCATAATTCTCTCTCGGCGACTGGAAATTGCCAGTAATGTAACCCTCCTGATTTGCATAAAGATGAATGTGACACTTAAATCATTATGAACACATGCGGAGAGGGCCGAGTGCTGGATCCCAGTTAAAAGATGATCACACATATTTATTAAAGCTCAGCTCCAAGCACAAATTAATATAATAGCTCTGTAATCATTAATACATCATTAAATGTAATTTTTTTAAATGCAGTACCTGAATATGACCTGGTCTCAGTCTCTACAGCAGAGCTTAGACTGGGGGAGGGAGAAGCAGCATCCCTTGTTCTGCAGTGCTCATGTGCTACCAAGGAAGCCACTGATAGGAGGAGAGAGCAGAGTGACAGAAAGATGATCTCATCAGCTATGAGTTACCACTCCTTGACTTAATGGGTTGGTTCACATTTACCAAAAAACTGCCTGTGCATGCAAGGCGCACCTGTAGATTAAAAATCAAACTGTGCAGCTTTGACAAAAGTTGAATAATGCCCTTGTTATAGATGTAGCCAAAAAGCTCCGAGAGATGGTGTCAGCCTTGTTGCTAGGATGTTGCTAAGACACTCACAGCCAATTCAAAACCCCTCACATTCACTCTCTTTTCCCTGTTGCAATAGCTTTGAGATCAGTGATGCTGTAACTGAAAAGAAGGTGGACCACACATGTGCTGGAGTTTGAGAGCTCGCTCCTGTGATGATAGGGGTGAGCATTAACAGCTGGTAGTAGTGTCTTAGCAACATCCTAGCAACAAGACAGGATGAGGATAATGCCATTGTTGGGAGTTTTTCAACCAGGCTTCGGGTGGTAAGTAAATGGCCTACACCTATAGCAAGGGCATTATTCACCATTTAGTCAAAGCTGAACCGTTTTATCTGCAGGCTCCCCTTACCTGCATAAGCAATTTTTTGAGATAACCTTTTAGGGCAAGTAGTGATATGCAAACTGCAGTAACTCATAGCAACCAATCGAAGGTTGTATTTATTTATGCTGGCTGCAATAATTAAAGTCAGATGATTTCTGATTGGCTCTTGTGGGTTACAAACTTTGAATGGCACCGTAGCTAAAGGCGGTGGCGGGTGGAAAATTGTCAGCCAGTGACTGCATCCAATCAAATGCCCTCACACTGTGAAGGACAAATGCTGATTAAGTTGATGGGGGCTGGACAAGACAAGGGGTAGGCAGGAGGGGCAGCTGCCCTGGGCTCCTGTATATATATATATATATATTTAATATGTAGGGGTGGGGGCGCCATCCTTCTGTTACAAGCCTGACAAGAGTATTGACAGTGACAGTGATTTTGATAAGCGAGTGAATGCTGGGCATAGGATCCCCTAAGTTTGCGCATCATGAGCCGGAGGTGGGTGCAGTTTGGCATCTTTGCCTTGGGTGCTGGATAACCTTGTTCTGCTACTGGATGGGCGAGAGTTACTAAAACTGGAGAATCTGGTGCAGCTGTGCATGTAGCCAATTAGCTTCTAACTTCAGCTTGTTCAGCTTTGAGAATAAAACCTAGAAGCTGATTGGTTTCTATGCAGAGTTGCACCAGATTTTACGCCATGCAGTTTTAGCAAATAGCCCCCTATCGGTAGAGGAATGATCTGAAATACTTACCTTATTCCTTGTTTTTCTCCGACATTCATGGGTTGTGGGCGGGCCCTTGCCATCATCACTTACAAAGCAGGACTGCTGGCTCTGCATGTGCACGTGATGACGTCACAGTGTGGCTGCCAATTGGAGTGCTGAAGAAAAGATGTTTTGGGGTAGTCAGTCGCACAGCATGGTGGAAGCCTAGAATAAGGTGAGTATTACAACCTATTCCCCTACCACCAGATCTAGCAAGTAATTTAACCCTTGCAACCCTCGAGGTGCAGGGGGGCCCCACTGCAAAAGTATTTTTTACAAAAAGTCCTGCACTTTGGCTTTAGGATGTAAATAAATTAAACTTTAAAGAGGACTTTTCATTAAAATTCTCAGATCACAAAAGTGGGGTACATGTTATTAACTCATATTATTAATTTGAGAAGCAAAGTGCCTCTTTCTTGTCTGGAAAAGAAAAACGTGTTACTCCCACCGCTGGCCGAAAAGTCAAATCCTGACTGCCATGAGCATTGTGGGTGTTTGCTATTTCCAGGCAGGCAGACCCTGTCTAGTAGACTTTCATTATGATAAAAGCATCAACATTGTATAATTTGCTGAGCAGCACTAATAAGCAGTGATCAGAACCTGTATATACAGTATCAGGTATACGGCTACCAACGTGTGCTTTTACATGTACTTAATCACACATACAAGGCTTTGCTAGTGGTCACTAAACAATAATTTTTTTCTCCAAAAATAATCCACACATCCACTGCTGTGGCCCTGTAATCTATTTCTCATGAAATTGCTTCTAATTGTGTTTTACTGCCTACTTGTTATGTCCTCTGTCACCTCCCAAACCTCTCTCTTCCCTCTCACTTCTCTTTGTTTGGAACAAGTAGTGCACGTTCGCTGCAATCATGTACTGTGTGTGTGTGTGTGTATATATATATATAGTATCGATATCTAAACACAAACTGGTTTTGTGGCCAAGAGTTCTTGCATAAATAGTAAAAAAAAAACCTTTAAATTTATTATCGGGCAGCACATTATACAGAAAATATAATACTATATACATTATACAGCAAATATAACGCATATATATTATATACAGTATATAATATATATATAGTATACAAATATATATATATATTGTATATATACAAATATAATATATAGTATACAAATATATATGCTGTATAGATACAAATGTAATTTATAATATATACTATTTACAGTATAGAATTATATCTCTATCTATCTATCTATCTATCTATATACAGTATATATATATATATTACATTATACAGCAAATATAATACCATATACTATACTCTTTTCAACTGCATGTATTATGAAATTCCAGCCAAATCCTTCTTTTTTTTGCAGGGTGGGGAAGGGATACATCCTCTGCCAGGTTTTAATTGCTGTGCGTGTCCCCCTTGGGGCTATTTTCCCTACTTCCTGTGTGAAGCACAGGGAAATTTCCCTTAACACTGGTATGAATGTAATTTTCAAATACTGATTCCCACTGGGCCTCCTTTGGCCCCGTGTACATCAGGTTTACCAAGCAGCTGTATGTAGGCGACAGGTCCTCTTTAAGATCACAAAACTACAGCAGAATTTTGAAATATCTGTAGGCATAACCACAGCACAGCAGTAATCAATAGGCAGCGCAATAACACAGGCGTGTTAACCCGTTCCCTACCTACTAGGCCAGCGGGGAGCAACACATTGGAAAACCACAACTCTGCTGAAGAAATAATTAAATTGAGGCAAATTAACCCATTTTACCGCGGCTTCTCATTTGTTTTCATTATCGGGGAGGGGGGCTGGGGATCTGCAGCGGCAGAGCAGAAGAGAAGGCCTGGTGATTTCTGCCTTTCTGATTGAAGCTATTGATTAGGATCTATTCTCATTAACATGTTGATTAACTGAAGGAGAGAGACGGCCAGGGAGAAGACGGCAGACGGAGGGGATGGGGAACCGGGATGATATTATTTTTATTCTGGGGGATGTTGTGTTTTATTGTACATGGGAGTTGGGTTTATATGGAGACCCATGTGCTGGGGTAGTGCAGGGCTGGTGATGGAGGTGCATGGCTGGGTGGACAGAAGAGGCGGAACTACGGGACCTGGATGGATGCCGCACACAATGGACTGGAAACTGGAAGACGTGGAGGATGGATCTATGCTGGACAATCTTAAGAGGTGGGGCCTCCCTGGGAGATGGGGCTCTAGCATAAAAGGAGGTTGATCATGGAGGGCAGAGAGCACTACACTGTATCTGTATAGTATGTGTGACCATATAGGGGGATGTAATCTATCTAAAATATATATACATATATGTGTGTGTATTATTGGTAGAGTAGTGATGCCAGATTTTTAAAACATGACTCAGTTGGAGGGTAGTTATTTCAGACTTGTGACTTACTGTATAATGTGGGAGTAATGATGTCACTCTTGTTAAATATAACTTTTTAGTCCAACCTTTCTCAGCCAGCATTCTGTGGAATACTGGGGTTCCTCCAGAGGTTGCTAGAGGTTCCTTAAGCAAGGAGCAATTTCTGCCTCTTAGATAATTTCCCAATGATAATTTCCCCCAGTTATTTGTAAGAGGTGAATTCTTCCCATTGTCCCACTGCCCAATGTAAGGAGCATTCTTCCCACTGCCCACCAATGTAAGGAACATTCTTCCCACTGCCCACCAATGTAAGGAACATTCTTCCCACTGCCCACCAATGTAAGGAACATTCTTCCCACTGATCACCAATGTGAGGGACATTCTTCCCACTGATCACCAATGTAAGGAACATTCTTCCCACTGATCACCAATGTGAGGGACATTCTTCCCACTGATCACCAATGTAAGGGACATTCTTCCCACTGATCCACAGTGTAAGGTGCATTTTTTGCCACTTACCACCAATGTTTATTCTTCCCTCTGACGACCAATGAAAGTAGCATTCCTCCCACTGACCACCAATATAAAAAGCATTCTTCCCACTGACCCCCAGTTTATAGACCATTTTTTTCACTGACCACCAATGGTAGGAGCATTCTTCCCATTGCCAACCCCACTATTGTACAATGACCTGTAGGTTTATATTTATGAAGTATTCCTTGAGAAAGGTATTTCAAGATTTCTTCCATGGCTGAGAAAGGCTGTTCTAGGGTGAATGTTGAAAGAAAACGTCTTTCCTATAAAGTATAACTTTTATTTAGGAAATCAGGAAGATTTTTTTTCAAGTACAGCATAACTTGTATTCGTAGAGCTATGATGTCACTTCTATAAAATATAATTATTTTGGGGGATGATATTAAATCTAAAATATTATACATATTTGAAACATATGCCTGTTCTGTACGGAAAAATATTTTTGGGAACTGAGGATGCAACACCAAGATTGATACAATTTGACGTGTAAAGCCCCGTACACGCAGGCTAAGTATCGGGCGGAATCCTGTTGAACCTGCCGACATTCGGCCCGTTTGTATGGCAGATGGTCTGACAAAAGCCGTGCGTTTGTCTGGCTTCTGTCGAAGGGGCATGACCGAAAAAGGTCTGCCGACTGGCTTCCGATCAGTGTTCTCGGCTGATGGCTGAGAGAACTGACCGATGTGTTCTGGCATGGGGGGGGGGGGGGCATAGGGTGTCAATCCCCCTGTCAAGACACAGTAGCACAGCAGGAGAGATCACTGTACTAACACCGCTTGTGCTAGTACAGCGATCTGTCAGTGTTTATTCATTCAGCCTGATGGTTGGATGAAAAAAAACTGATAATGTGTATGGGACTTAAGGGTCACCATTCACCATACAATAATTGTACAATCAGCTTTAGGTTTAACAAGACCTTGTAATAGAAGGACGTAGCTAAACTATCCAATCAATCTTTATCCAATTAGGCAGGCCTTGTCGCTCATAGTTGTTGGTAGATCTACAGGAAATTGTACAATCCGATTGTAAGATTTGTGGTGAGCTTTAGAATTGTAATATCACTCTTGTAAAATATGATTCATTTTTGGAGAGTCATGATGTGACACCTGTAAAATGCAAGTTAATATTTAAAAGCAAAAATGTCCAGATATAGAAGGACAATCATGATGGTATTCTGACCAGATAGAGCTTAAGGGGGTGCCTGTAATGATCACAACGGACGGTACCGTGCATTCCCAGAATAAAAAAGTAATAGCTCACCAGCCCTCCAAAAGATGCGTTTTCACAATCTATTGTACCATGTCACGTAGAACAAACTGAAATGTCAACATTTCAGGACCTTGCAGGGTATCCTTCTTCAGGATAACTCAGTGACCCAAAAGTTGTGTTTATACAATTTATTGTGCTCAAACTGCCATGCCAGCACTGGGTTCCCTTCCTCAGCACAACTCAGCGACCCAAAAGAGGAAATAGTCTCCCATGGGACTTTAATGCAGCCATGACAACATGAGTTATGTTAAAAATATATTGTTTTATTAATACAAAATTCTTCCTTAAAAATAAAAGCAATAAAATTCATGCCATATCTCTGGCATAACTGAATGCAATCTGTGTATTGAAATGCAAAAATACATGTCAGACGGACAGGTAAGATAAAATTTGTCCCCCCGGGGCCAAATTTTATCTTAACTATCAGCCTGACATGTAATTGTGCTGTCTATTGCTTTTGACATTGGTCAGATATTTTTGCAATTTAAAGGTACAGATTGTATGCAGCTATGCCAGAGATATTTTTATTTTTAAGGATGAAATTTGTATCAATAAAATATTTTTTTTAACATAACTCATGTTTTCATGGCTGCATTAAAGTCCCATAGGAGACAATTCCCTTTTTTGACATAACATAGGGATGTAGCAGTCTTTGACCTTCGATTGATCACCCACCCACTTCTACTGAAGTGATCCAAAAGATGCCTGTTACAATCTATTGTTAGTGTACAATGCCACATATAGCAGGTCAAGCTGCCATGCAAACATTTTGGAGTTTCACTTGGTCCCCTTCTTCAGGGCAACTGTACCATGTCACACAGGTCAAGCTGGCCATGCCAACGTTTAGGGGCCTCAATGGACCTCCTTCTTCAGGGAGACTCAGTGACTCAAAAGATGAATTTTTAAGATTTATAGGAAGCGTACCATGTAACATAGGTCAAACTGCTGTGCCAGTGTGTTTCAGGACCTTTCTGGGTTCCCTTTCTCAGAGCAACCCAGTGGCCAAACAAATGTGTTTTTACGATCTATTATGCATGTAACATCTCACATAGGCCAAACTGCCTGCCAACATTTCAGGACATGGCAATTCCTCAGGATGACTTAGTGGTTCAAAAGATGTGTTTTCACAACATACTGTTACATAGTTAGTCTGGTTGAAAAAAGTCAATCCAGCTCAAAAAAACAAAAAAACAAAAAAAGTCTATACCTACAACTGATCCAGGGGTAGGCAAAAAAACCCAGTAAGCATGATCCAATTTTCTCCTGCAGGGGAAAATATTCCTTGCTGATCCCCCAAGAGGCAATCGGATATTCCCTGGATCAACCAGTTATATTCTGTGTATCTAGGAAAGAATCCAGGCCTTTTTTAAAGTAATCCACTGAGCTGGCCAGAACCAACTCTTGAGGGAGTCTATTCCACATTTTCACAGCTCTCACTGTGAAGAAACCGTCCCATGTTTGAAGATTACATTTCTTTTCCTCTAGACGTAAAGAGTGCCCCCTTGTCCTCTGTGATGACCTCAGGGTGAATAGCTCTACACACAGTTCACTATATGAACCACTAATGTATTTATACATGCAGATCATATCCCCCCCTTATGTATTATACATGGAGATCATATCCCCCCCTTATGTATTTATACATGGAGATCATATCCCCCCTTATGTATTATACATGGAGATCATATCCCCCCTTATGTATTATACATGGAGATCATATCCCCCCTTATGTATTATACATGGAGATCATATCCCCCCTTATGTATTATACATGGAGATCATATCCCCCCTTATGTATTATACATGGAGATCATATCCCCCCCCTTATGTATTATACATGGAGATCATATCCCCCCTTATGTATTATACATGGAGATCATATCCCCCCTTATGTATTATACATGGTGATCATATCCCCCCTTATGTATTATACATGGAGATCATATCCCCCTTATGTATTATACATGGAGATCATATCCCCCCGTATGTATTTATACATGGAGATCATATCCCCCCTTATGTATTTATACATGGAGATCATATCACCCCTTATGTATTGTACATGGAGATCATATCCCCACTTATGCATTATACATGGAGATCATACCCCCCTTATGTATTATACATGGAGATCATATCCCCCCTTATGTATTATACATGGAGATCATATCCCTCCTTATGTATTCTACATGGTGATCATATCCCCCCTTAATCTCCTCTTCTCAAGAGAGAATGAATTCAGTTCCTCTAATCTTTCCTCAGCTGATCTCCTCCATGCCTCTTATCAGTTTGGTTGCCCTTCTCTGTACTTTCTCCAGTTCCCCCCTCCATGTACTTTTTGTGAATTGGTGCCCAAAACTGAACTGCATATTCCAGATGAGGTATAACTAATGATTTGTACCTGGGTAATATGATATCTCTCTCTCTCTGGAGTCTATACCTCTTTTAATACAAGAGAGGATTTTTTGCTCGCTTTAGAACCCGCAGCTTGGCATTGCATGCCATTATTAAGCTTGTGATCTACCAGAACTCCCAGATCCTTCTCCAATGAACCATGCCACATAGGTCAAGTTGCGATATCAATGTTTCTGACACATGCAGGTTCCCTTTCTTCAGGGCAACTCAGTGACCCAAAAGATGTGTTTTCATGATTTATTGTTAGTGTACTATGCCGCATAAGGCAAGCTGCTATGCCAGTGTTTCAGGGGCATCTCTGGGTCCCCTTCTTCAGGGTGACTCTTTAAACCAAAAGATGTGTTTTCACAAATTATTAGGCGCGTACCATCCCACACAGGCCATACTGCCATGCAAACATTTCAGGACCTGGCAAGGCCCAATTCCTCAGGATGACTTAGTGGCCTGAAAGATGTGTTTTCACAACATATTGTGAGATCCTTGTGTCATATAGGTCAAGCTGCTATGCCTATGTTTCAGAGCCTTTGCAGGTTCTCCTTCTTCAGGATGACTCAAAATACGATCCAAAAGATTCATTGTTTGTGTACAATGGCACATAGACCAAATTGCCATGCCAACATTTGGAGCCTTGCTGGGTTCTCTTCCCCAGGGTGACTCAGTGACCCAAAAGATGCATTTCATAACATATTGTCAGTGTACCATGTCACATACAGTGGGTCAAGCTACCATGCCTACATTTCAGGACTCTGCTGGGTCCCCTTTAATAGGAAGACTCAGTGACCCAAAATGTGTTTTCACATCATATTGTGCATGGTATGGTAATATCACAAAGCTCAAGCTGCCATGCCAATGTTTCGAGAACCTTGCAGGGTCCCCTTCCCATGGGTTACTCACTGACCCAAAAAAAATGCATTTTCACAATTTATTGTGAGGTGTACCATGTCACATGGGTCAAGCTGTCATGCCAGTGTTTTGGAGCCTCCCAGTTCCCCTTCTTCAGACCAGCTCTGACCTCATTGAGTCACCCTGGACCAGGGGACCCTGGGATGCCCTAAAACTAAGGCATGTAGTTTGACCTTCTAAATGTTAAATGGTACATTCCTAATGATGTGTGAAACTGCAACTTTTGGAGTGCTGGTGACATTTTACACCCTTTAACTAAAATCTGAAAGCAGGGATTTCTCTTCTGTGAAGTTTAACATGTAGAGAGTAGTGGTGGTTTTACTTTAAAATGTGACTTTTATTTGGAGAGCAGCCATGTTGCATCTACAAAACTAATACTAAGTGAGGATGCCCCCCCCCCTCCCCGTCCCCATAAAGTGGACTCACATCTATGAAATAATGTAAATTAGTACAGTTCAAGTTAACTTATGCTTGAAGTGCTATGAGGTCCTTGTAAAATTTTGTAAATATTTTTTGAGAACTCTGATGTCACACCATAAACCTGTATAAGGCCTCATGCACACTTGGGACAAAGAATGCCTGTTTTACAGGCGTTTGCCATTTTTTTTCTGCCTCCATGTCAGCCTATGTGTTCATGCACACATAGGCATTACAGGAGTTTAGAAACAGAAAATTAAAAAAAGAGGAGAACTTCGGTTGAAAAAATGCTTCACATGCCTAAACATGTGTAAGTGGATCTAAACACTCCAAAGTGCTAGGTGCGTTTAGTGCTTGAGTGTTTTTAAATTTTGAAGGCAAGAATAAACGCCCAAGTACTTGACCCGCTTAAATGTGGCTTAAACACTCTTTTGAAGCTGCTCTTCTCCTGCCAGGAGAAAGCGATTAGCATAGCCCCAATGTGCATGAGTCCTTACACTTTGCGTAACAGAGCCAGATCTAGCCTATCTGATCTGGGGGTGCAGTAAAAACAAGTCAGGGGGAATAATAGCAACACTGTGTGATGAGTCACTGACTGTCTGTTATACAGGGGTTTATTTACTAAAGCTGGTTCACTCAGAATCTTGTACACCTGTGTATGGTAGCCAATCAGCTTGTTCAATTAAGCTTTAGCAATAAAACCTGAAGCTGACTGGTTTCTTTGCAGAAGTGCACGAGATTCTGAGTGAACCAGCTTTAGTAAATAAACCCCATTGTGTCATGACCTGGAGAACAATATTATGTATTAGATTGTTATTAGGTTAGCATGATTAAACAAAGCCTGTGCCCCTATATCAGATGTCCTATCAGAGTCTCCTATTACATCAGGAGCCCTCATCAGAGTCCCCCTTTACATCAGGTTTCAATTAGAGTGCCCCCTTTACATCAGGTGTCCCCATCAGAGTGCCCCCTTTCATCAGGATCCCCATAGGAGTGCCTCGTTACATCAGGTGTCTCCATCAAAGTTCCCCCTTACATCAGGTATCCCCATCAGAATGCCCCCTTACATCAGGTGTCCCCATCAGAATGCCCCCTTACATCAGGTGTCCCCATCAACATGTCCTCTTACATCAGGATCCCCATCCAAGTGCCTCCTTGCATGTGTCCCCATCAAAGTTCGCCCTTACATTAGGTGTCCCCATCAGACTTCCCCCTTACATCAGGTGTCCCCATCAGACTTCCCCCTTACATCAGGTGTCCCCATCAGACTTCCCCCTTACATCAGGTGTCCCCATCAGAATGCCCCCTTAAATCAGGTGTCCCAATCAGCATGTCCTCTTACATCAGGATCCCCATCAAAGTTCGCCCTTACATCAGGTGTCCCCATCAGACTTCCCCCTTACATCAGGTGTCCCCATCAGACTTCCCCCTTACATCAGGTGTTCACATCAGAGAAGAGCAATGTTGTTGCTGAAGGACAGGAAGTGTGTAAAGACAACAGAACACCACCACCTCTTCTTCATAACACGGGGAGATGTTCTAAAGACCAGACAGAGACCTGTGAACGACATTAACTTATAACAGGGCAGCATAGGAACACAGAAAGATATCCAATCACAAGATTTCTGACAAGATCAACAAATATTTATGAAACAGACATACTAAAATACTTTTAAAGGTATCGTTACCAGATCAAGGGAGCAAAAAAGAAAAGCTCATTGTTAGGGGCTTATACACAATAATCAATATCTTTATCCTAATTATATTCATACACATCCACCGCTTAACCTCCCTAGCGGTATGATTATGTCCATATTTCTGTGCTCAAAGCGGTACCTTTTTTTTGCATGGAAATATGTTTTTTTTTTATTTTATTGTAGGCCTGTAATTTTTAGGAATAACTCACTGAAATCTGTCCGAACAAGAGTCTAGTAAACATCCCAGGTATGATAAAACTTGAAACACGAAATCATAAATTATAATTTAATAAATAATCCTAAAAAATAATAATATAATAATAATAAATTTAATTCAATAATATAATCAAACCAAAAACACTGAAATTTGAAATATAGCGCCAAGTTCGCACATCACTGAGCAAAGTCGCAAAATCGTTTTCAGTGACGAATTTCCCCATGAATCATTATCTGAGTAAGCCCTACCCTCATTAGAGGTCTTGCACCCCAGGGGGGTCAGGGAGGGGTCCTTCCTCTTCAAGAGAAGGCAAAAGCACATCCAACGTTCTGCACCACTGGCTCAGAAATTATAAAAAAAAAATAAAAATAAAATTGGGATAAGACAGCTTTCATTCTGAATGAATAATCATGACCATCATCATGAAAAAATTCACCTTTTTTTCACATTTTCTCATTATCACTCAATTCTGCAAGTGGTTCTGATTTACTATCGCTGTTCTCTAGCCGGTCTAAAACCGCTTTTGACCTAAAGGGACGCTTTTTGGACACCATGGACGTTTCTCAGTTTCCAGGCAGAAAGAACAGTAAAAATGCAGGCAGGGCACAAGACAAAGCACTCGGGACAAAATGTATGTGAAATGGTTTGATACAGGAATGTTTTACTATGTGATTTTAGTGAATGTCACTTTTTGTCATTTTCAAATTTCCTGCCGTTCCGTCCCCCATACGTCCCGATGCTCACAGGGGACGGAACCCAGATGACAGATGCCGGCATCCGCCGGATTACATTGCCGGGGACACTGCAAGAGGGACATCGTAGGAGCGCAGGACAAGGTAAGTGATCGAGGGATCCCGGAGCAGCGCCGCATGGTAAGCCCGAGTGTAGCTCGGGGTTACCGCTTGTGGTATGGAAACTTTCCCCGAGCTACACTCGGGAATACCGCCAGGGAGGTTAATGCTCCTGTAATTTACTTTTCATGAAATTGTTTCTTACTCTGTTTTTCTACCGCATTGTAATAGTCTCCATGAGCTCCTGAACCTCACCTTTTCTCCCTCACTTCCTTTTGTTTGGCATGAGCTGTGCAGGTTTGTTGCAGTCATGTGCAGTGCTCTATGTGTACTATATATCCCATAGTCCATCTCAGGAACAAGCAAGAGGGGGCCGCTACAGTCCTATACACAGTGGGGACCATGGAGAATTAATGTAGCCACCCTCCAATAGGAAGTCAAATCATACCAAAAAAAAATTAATTTGGAGATCTGGGGAAGGCTGAGAACAATTCAAAAGAGTCACAAGAGTGCAGTATTATTTTCTTTTTTTTGGCATTTTGTAGTCAAAAATGTATTGCTGTGTTCACCAAAGGCACCCCTGCACAGGTCAGGTGATATACTTGCGTTGCTTTAAGATATTTAGAATGTAAATATCAACTCACGAAAAGTAAGGCTCCTTTCACCAGGGCGGACCTATCAGTGGATCTGCTTGCTCAGTGTGGGATCTGCCTACTGATCCTCGCTGAACAAGCGGATGACAGGCCAGCTTATGCATAGTGGACACAGTCCACTGTCGTCTATGGGTGGTCGGATAGAAACGGACCGCCTGTCCATTACCATCTGACTGCCATTCAAATCGATCCGACAGACGGAAGGGGAAAGGATCCCCATCTGTCTCTTTTTGGCAGATCGGATTGGATGTTGGCAGGTGTAAACGGACACAGGAGATCCACAGAGGAGATTAGAGGTTCAGATCGGGTCCGCCTTAAAAACGGCACATGGACCCAATCGGAACATCCGTGTGAAAGGGGCCTAACAGATGAGACACAGCAAGGGTCCTTTCCGTTTTTTTTTTATCAGTTCAGTCACGTTTTTTTTGTTTTTTTTTAAACGGATACATTTCTCATCACTTTACATCAGTTTTTCGTCAGTTTTTTACATCCACTACCAATGCAAAAACAGATGCAAAAATGGACTGCTTGTTTACGTTTTTCATCTGTTCCGTTTTTTTAAATAGGGCTTTGATCCATTCCAAAAAATGCATTGATGTCTGCTTTTCATCCATCAACGGATGGAGGAAAAATGGACAAACGGAACGCACATGTGAAAGGGACCTAAGGTGTCTATAGAGGACAGCAGGGAAATGAGATGTAGGCGGTGATAAAATAATGAATACCGACTCCATATTTTTTTTAGTTATGAATTGAACATATTTTAGAAGAAAATTCTCATGATGTATAAGAACCCATCCATCTCAGTGACGGTGAATTAAGCCTTTAATCAAATTGAGCTTTAAAGAGATATAAGATGAATGACGCAACAGGGAGACATTGGTATTGCTGTCAGCATCCTTCCATCCGTCCATTCTCATCTCCTGCAATGAACCTTGTTCTAAGGTCTAAGAGTAAACCTTTCATTCAAAAAAGGTTCATTGTAGGTAAAGACATTGTTGGCCCTCTCACATTCTGGGGGGACAGAGAAAAAAAGATAAGTACTCCTCTCTATTACATCCTCCTTAGACAAAAAGAGTATATTCTGAATGTATTCACTGTACTAAATGAATCAATGTAATTGTTTTATAACGCAGGGTTCAGATGTAACAAACACAATTTAAGGTGCATTGGGTTAGAGCAGCTATTGACCAACACAGGGGCAAGTGTTTGTTACCAGGGTGCAAGGCCTAGCCAAGCACTTACCCTGGCACCTTTTCCATATTTGTGGATTATTCCTTTGTGTCACCCTGTACTTACTGTATGTATGTGTTCCTTTTAACTCAAATGGTAGGGTGCAGGTCTTTGGGCCTACTATGAAGTCTAGGGGGATGGATGTGTGTCCATTAGGTTCCTTCCTCTCCTGCTTTGGGGGGATGTCTGTCTTCGGGAGAGCCCCCCCCCCCACCTAGTAATTGTTGGTAGGCTTCATCTGATCATGAGAAGCAGGGTCCACTGGTACTTTTGACAAGGGGGATCTGAGTAAGCCCTACCCTCGTTAGATGTCTTGCACCCCAGGGGGGTCAGGGAGGGGTCCTTCCTCTTCAAGAGAAGGCAAAAGCACATCCAACGTTCTGCACCACTGGCTCAGAAATTATAAAAAAAAAAGCTCTGAATGAACTATTATGACCATCATCATGAAAAAATTCACCTTTTTTTTGATAGAGCACCTCAGTGCATATAGCTACCTACCCTCTTATATTAATATTAACCACTTGCTGACCAGCCGCAGTACATATACTGCAGATGGGCAGCATCTGCAGGCAAAATCACATACATGTATGCCATTTTGCATGCTCCAGTTCTCCCTGTGACCGATGTGTTCACCGAACACAGCGGATTGCGGGATCTTGGTAATCGGGGCCCGGTAAGCATGTAATCGCAATGCGATCACATGATCACAGTGTTAGCAAAGCATTTAGGAATTAATTAATTCATAACAGCTGTATTTCCTAGGTTGTGATTGGCCCACAGCTGTCACATCGTACCTGGGCCAATCGCAGCACCCTGTACCATGTGATTAGCTGTAGCCAGTCGCAGATCACTAGTGATCACAGCTGTCATGAATGTAACCCATGCATGACAGTTGAAAACTTTGCTGTTACAAATGATCTTCAATGTAACAGCAAAGTAGTAGTACTGAGTAGTACAGTGTTACTGTGGAAACACTGAGCTACTTTGATGAAAGCATGTAAAAATAATGAAATTAATTTATTATTTTTTCTAAATTTTAGTTTTTTTTTTGTTTATATCGTAAAAAACAAAAAACGCAGTGGTGATCAAATACCACCAAAAGAAAGCTCTATTTGTGTGAAGAAAACGATAAAAATGTAATTTGCTTACAGTACTGAATGACCGTCCTATTGCCAGTTAAAGTAGCACAGTGTGGAATAGGAAAAATTGCCTGGTCATGAAGGGGGTAAAATCGTCTGGGGGTGAATTGGTTAACCTGCATACTGTTTGTAGTTTTCTAGTTGTATGGATATAGTCTATGTGATGCTATGTTTAGAGATGTCCAGTGACCATGTGACTGAGACTACCTAGGCTGGGAGTTGATGAATAGTAGTTTTTTTATTCATAGATATACAGTTAGGTCCATATATATTTGGGCACAATTTTAGTTTTTTTTTTAGGTATTTACTAAATCACAATCAAGCTATAGTTATATAATGAATATGTGCTGAAAGTGCACACTCTCAGGTCTAATTTGAGGTATGGACATCCAAATTGGAGGAAAGGTTTAGGAATTACAGTTCTTAAGAGTAGCCACCCCCCCTTTTTCAAGGGACCAAAAGTAATTGGACAATTGAATCAATGGCCAGGTGTGGGCTACTCCTTCGTCATTTCTTCATCAATTAAGCAGGTAAAAGATCTGGAGTTGATTCTAAGTGTGGTATTTGCATTTGGAATCTATTGCTGTGAACCTACATGCATACATCAAGGAGCAGTCCATGCAAGTGAAACAGGCCATTGTAAAGCTTCAAAAATGAAACAAATCCATCAGAGAGATAGCCGCAACATAAGGAGTGGCCATATCAACAGTTTGGTACATTCTGAGGAAAGAAGAATGCACTGAAAGTACAGAGAAGGACAACCAAACTGATAACAGGCATGGAGGAGCTCAGCTATGAGGAAAGATTAGAGGTACTGAATTTATTCTCTCTTGAGAAGAGGAGATTGGGGGGGGATATGATCACCATGTATAATACATAAGGGGGGATATGATCACCATGTATAATACATAAGGGGGGATATGATCACCATGTATAATACATAAGGGGGGATATGATCTCTATGTATAATACATAAGGGGGATATGATCTCCATGTATAATACATAAGGGGGGATATGATCTCCATGTATAATACATAAGGGGGATATGATCAACATGTATAATACATAAGGGGGATATGATCACCATGTATAATACATAAGGGGGGGGGGGATATGATCTCCATGTATAATACATAAGGGGGGGATATGATCACCATGTATAATACATAAGGGGGGATATGATCTCCATGAATAATACATAAGGGGGATATGATCTCCATGTATAATACATAAGGGGGGATATGATCTCCATGTATAATACATAAGGGGGGATATGATCTCCATGTATAATACATAAGAGGGGATGTGATCACCATGTATAATACATAAGGGGGGATATGATCTCCATGTATAATACATAAGAGGGGATGTGATCACCATGTATAATACATAAGGGGGGATATGATCTCCATGTATAATACATAAGGGGCATATGATCACCATGTATAATACATAAGTGGGGGATATGATCACCGTGTATAATACATAGGGGGGATATGATCTCCATGTATAATACATACATAAGGGGGGATATGATCTCCATGTATAATACATAAGGGGGGATATGATCTCCGTGTATAATACATAAGGGGGGATATGATCACCATGTATAATACATAAGGGAGGATATGATCACCATGTATAATACATAAGGGGGGATATGATCTCCATGTATAATACATAAGGGGCATATGATCACCATGTATAATACATAAGTGGGGGGATATGATCACCGTGTATAATACATAGGGGGGGATATGATCTCCATGTATAATACATAAGGGGGGATATGATCTCCATGTATAATACATAAGGGGGGATATGATCTCCATGTATAATACATAAGGGGGGATATGATCTACATGTATAAATACATCAGTGGTTCATATAGTGAACTCGGTGTAGAGCTATTCACTCGGAGGTCATCACGGAGGACAAGGGGGCACTCTTTACGTCTGGAAGAAAAGAAATGTAATTTCCAAACACGGAAAGGTTTCTTCACAGTGAGAGCTGTGAAAATGTGGAATAGACTCCCTCAAGAGTTGGTTCTGGCCAGCTCAGTGGATTGCTTTAAAAAAAAAGGCCACAGAATATAACTGGATACTAACATTTATAGGTAAAGTTGATCCAGGGAATAT